TCTCGCCGCCAGCGGCCCCGACGCACCGAGCGGGCGGCGCGGCGCGAGCGCGACCCCGCGCGGGCACGTACCTGGGGGCGGGGCGCGCGGCGCCTAGCAACCGGCGGCACGAGCGCGCCGCCGCCAATCGGCGCCCAGTGCCCGGCTCGCGCCCCGCCCCCTCCGCCCCGCCCCACCTGGCCGCCCGCGCGGCCCCGCCTCCTCCCCGCCTCCCCACCCCTCCCGCGCCCTGAGGCCGTCCCGCGCGGCCCCGCCCCGCCGCCTCATCCCCGCCCACTTGGCCCGGCTCCAAGCCACGCCCCCCGCCCGATGCGGACCCCGCCCCCCCGCCGCGTAGGCCCCGCCCCCGCCCCGCAGGCCCCGCCCCGCGCCCCACGTGCGGCCCCGCTGCGGGGTGACCCCGGCCCCGCCTGGCCCCGGGCCCGCCGGCAAATATTTGCCTGGGGCCGGCCCGGCGCTCCGGCAGCCCGGGGACGTGGGGCCGCCGCCATGCAGCCCGTGCTGGGGGTCCTGCTCGCCCTGGCCGCGGCCCTTGGTTCAGGTAGGGCCCCGGGCCGGGCCGCCGTGGGGCCGCCGTGGGGCTGGAGGACATGGGGCTGCGTGGGGCCGAGGCAGGAGCCTGCCGGCCACTGCCCTGTCCCGCGTGGGGGGCGGGAGGGGGGTAAGCATGAACTAAGGGGCTGCCGTGGGTGCTGAGGGACCCTCCGGAGCCACAGGACACGGATCCCCTGCTCCGTGGGGCAGGGATCCTCTGCCCCACAGGACACGGATCCCCTGCTCCGTGGGGCAGGGATCCCTTACCCCACAGGGCCCAGGTGCCCACGCTGCGCCCTCACGGCCACGCTGAGCCCCTGCCGCTCTCCCCAGGCCACCGCTCGCCCCTCAATGACTTCCAGCGCCTGCGAGCCACCCAGCTGCTGGCCGTGCCCGCGGACCCGCCGCCGCCGCCGCCGGAGCGGGGCTCGGCCGAGCAGTGTGCCCGGCGCTGTGCCGCCGGCCTGGCTTGCCGGTGAGCGGGACGCGGTGCTGCCGGTGGGGCGGGTGGGTGGACGGGGGGGGCGGCCACGCCAGGGTCACCCCGAGCACTTCAGATGCTGGGTGCCCCGCGGGTGCCCCGCACGGTGCCATGCCAGGCTCCCGCTCTGCCTCCCAGGGCTTTCCACCACGACCGGCAGAGCCAGCAGTGCCAGCTGCTGCCCTGGACCCAGCACTCGCCCCACGTCCAGCTGCAGAAAAACATCCACTACGACCTGTACCAGAAAAAAGGTGGGCTGGTGCCGCAGGTGGGCGTGGGGACACCACAGGCTGGGCACAGGGCTCCCCACTGCCCACGGGCCCTGGCTTGGCTCCGGGGCTCTGACACGGTGCCCGGCTCTGCCCAGACTACCTGCGGGACTGCATCGTGGCTGATGGCTCCGGCTACCGTGGCACACGGGCCACAACGGAGAAGGGTCTGAGCTGCCAGCACTGGCAAGCCACGACACCCCACGACCACAGGTGCCCCCGTGTCCCTGGCTGCCCTGTGACACCCGCTGGTGGCCGTGGGCAGCGTGGGGCAACAGGGAATGGGCTGGGGACAGAATGGGGACAATTGGGAGAGCGCAGGGGCAGTAGGGGCGACATGGGGACAATGGCACTGACCACTGACCAGGGGTGGCACAGCACTGTGGCTGTGCCCGCCCCAGGGCGAGGGGCTCCCCGGCAGCCCTCCTACCCGCTCTGCTACCAACAGGTTCCTGCCGTCCCCCCGCAACGGGCTGGAGGAGAATTACTGCCGCAACCCCGACCGGGACAAGCGGGGCCCGTGGTGTTACACCGTCGACCCCGATGTCCGGCACCAGAGCTGCGGCATCAAGAAGTGTGAGGACGGTGAGTGCCGCATCCGGGGGGGGGGTGCCCTGTGCCGTGTCTGCCCCCCACCACACACCCACTGAGCCCCCCTTGGCTGTCGGCAGCCGTCTGCATGACCTGCAACGGGGAGGATTACCGTGGCACCGTGGACCGCACCGAGTCGGGGACGGAGTGCCAGCGCTGGGACCTGCAGCACCCACACAAGCACCCCTACCACCCCAACAAGTACCAACCCCTCGCCCCGGGCAGCGCGCAGCCGCCCTGGCCGTGCCGGGGCGGGGGGGTGGCACCCTCACCTGCCGCTCCCCGTCTCTGGCCCAGGTACCCCGACAAAGGTCTGGACGACAACTACTGCCGCAACCCCGACAGCTCCGAGCGGCCCTGGTGCTACACCACCGACCCCGGCCGGGAGCGCGAGTACTGCCGCATCCGCCGCTGCAGTAAGTCCCCGACGGTGTCACCACGCAGCTGGGACCGGGGATCCCGGGTGCCACCCTAACTCCGCTGCTCTGCCCCTCTCCGGCCACGCAAGCAGAGAAACGCCCGCGGCCCCTTAACATCACCACCGGCTGCTTCAGGGGCAAGGGCGAAGGCTACCGGGGCCGGGTGAATGTCACCGTGTCCGGGATCCCCTGCCAGCGCTGGGACGCTCAGACACCCCACCGGCACCACTTTGTGCCTGAGAAGTACCCATGCAAGTAAGGGGATGGGGGGGGGATGCACCCGGGGAGGGCGGCAGCGGGCAGCACCCATGGGTGTGAGATTGGGGACACACACCCCCCACACCCCCCACCCCCCCACACCGTGGAACCTCCACCAGGGACTTGCAGGAGAACTACTGCCGCAACCCCGACGGCTCGGAGGCACCGTGGTGCTTCACCGCCCGCCCCACCCTGCGCGTCGCCTTCTGCTTCCACATCCGCCGCTGCCCCGACGAGCTGGGCGCCCAAGGTGAGCCACCCCCCGCCCCCCCCCCCCCCACAGGCACCCGCCCCCGGGGTGCCAGCCGGGGGTGCCAGCCCTCCCTGCCTGTCCCCAGAGTGCTACCACGGCCACGGTGAGCGCTACCGCGGCCACGTCGGCAAGACACGCAAGGGCATCACCTGCCAGCCGTGGGCTGCCCAGGCCCCCCATGTGCCCCAGTGAGTGTGGGGGGGGAGCGTGCTGGGGGGGCGGCGTGTGGGGACGGGGACGGGGTTGGGGATGGGGACCGCGATGGTGACGGTGACTGTGGTGGGTGACTTCTTCCCGGCAGGATATCACCCGTCACCCACCCTGAGGCACACCTGGAGGAAAACTACTGCCGCAACCCCGATAACGACAGCCACGGACCTTGGTGCTACACCATGGACCCCCGCACCCCTTTTGACTACTGCGCCATCAAACCCTGCTGTGAGTCCCTACCCACAACCCTGGAAAGCTAGGGAGGGGGTCCCCAGCCACCCCCCTGGGATCGTTTTGGTCCTCCCAGGGTGGCTGGGTCCCACCATAACACCACCCTCTGCTTTCCCTCCTCAGCTGGCAGCGTGGTGCCCTCCATCCTGGAGAACACAGGTGGGGGCCTGGGGGGGGGGGTGCCGTGGGGCAGGTGCCGTGGGGCAGATGCCGGCGGCACAGCCCCGGCTGATGCCCGCCCTGCCCGCAGATGCGGTGGAGTTCGAGCAGTGCGGCCGGCGGGACGAGAGGCTGCAGCGGAAAGGGCGCATCGTCGGCGGCCAGCCCGGCAACTCGCCCTGGACCGTCAGCATCCGCAACCGGTGAGCGGGTGCCCCCCACCCTGCACCTCCGTGAGGCCAGCATTCCCCCCCCCTCCCCGGGAGATCACACCCCACACCCCCCATCCTCATCCCTGCAGGGCCGGTGTGCACTTCTGCGGGGGGTCCCTGGTGAAGGAGCAGTGGGTGATCAGCACGCGCCAGTGCTTCTCCTCCTGGTAAGGCTGGGGCTGGGGTGCAGGGATCCACCCCACCCCCCCCGGCTGTGCCCTCACATCCCTGTCCCGCAGCGACGCCGACCTGGCAGGCTACGAGGTGCAGCTGGGGACGCTCTTCAAGGACCCCGGCCCTGGGGACCCCGACCAGCAGACCATCCCCATCGCGCGGATCGTCTGTGGCCCCTCCGAGTCCCAGCTGGTGATGCTGAAGTTGGCGAGGTGAGCGGCCGTGCCCCGGCCCCCACCGTGCCCCGCTGCCACCCGGGCTGACGCCACGTCCTGCTGCCCCTCTCGCCACAGCCCGGCTGCTCTGAACAGCCGCGTGGCCCTGATCTGCCTGCCGCCCGAGCGCTACGTCGTGCCCGCGGGCACCGTCTGCGAGATCGCCGGCTGGGGGGAAACCAGAGGTACCCACTGCCGGCAGCCGCTGCCAGGCTGGCCCCCTGTGATGGCATCCCCTGCCCGTGCCACTCCCCGGCAATGCCATACCCCTACCCACAGCACCCCGACAGCCACAGGCATCCCCATATCCCTAGTGTCCCCCTGCCTGCGGGGTCCCCATTTTCCTGGCACCTCCGGGCTCGCAGCGTCCCCCCTTCCAGCACATTTTCCTGCCTGTGCCACTCCCCAGCAACAGCATCCCCCTGCCCGTGACATCCCCTGCCCGCAGTACCCCCTTTGGTGCCACTCTCCCTGCGAAGTCGTCCCCGTGCGTGCAATGTGCCCCCGCCCGTGGCATCCCCCCCCCCACCCACGCCATCCCCGGCCCGTGCATTCGGCTGCCCGCAGGCACGGCGGACGGCAGCGTGCTGAACGTGGCGCAGCTGCCCGTGCTGGCCCACGGCGAGTGCAACGCGGCGCTGCGCGGGCGCCTGAAGGAGAGCGAGCTGTGCACCGCCCCGCTGCGCGCCGGCGTGGGGGCCTGCGAGGTGAGCCCGGCCGGGGACCACCGCCTCGGGGAGCCCGCGGCCGCCGGCACCGGGGTGACGCTGCTCTTCGGGTGCCGCAGGGAGATTACGGGGGGCCGCTGGCTTGCCTCACCGCCGACTGCTGGGTGCTGGAGGGGGTGATCACCCCCTCCCGCGTTTGCGCCCGCACCGACCAGCCCGCCCTCTTCATCCGCGTCTCCCTCTACGTCGACTGGATCCACAAGGTGATGAAGATGGGCTGAGCCGCCGCAGCCGCCGCCGCGCAATAAAGGCCCGGCCACGGCTGCGGGGCTCGGCACTGCACAGCGTCTCACACATTTATTTAGCACCAAACCCCAACCCACATCCCGTCCTGACCCCGGCTCCACTTGCTCCATCCGCCTCTGGTCCTGGTGTGGTCTCCAGTGCCAGTGGTCACCCTGGGGCCGGCACAGCCGCGGGGCCACCGTGGGGGCTAGGGGCTGTGCCAGCCTGTCGTGCCCCGCCGGGGCTGCCCGAGGTGCTGGAGGAGCCAGCGGGCACTATTCCCGAAGACGTCGGTCTCTGTCTCCACGCCGGCCAGCGCATGGCCACCCTCCGGGTACCACAGCAGCCTGCACGGGACGGGATGGGGGGATGCTCAAGCTGGCACCCCAGGATTCCCTCCCTGCTCCCCGCTGACCCCCACTCACCGTGCTGGCACCCCCCTGGCCCGCAGCACCCGGTACAGCTCCAGCGCCTGCGTGGGGCTGACGCGCCGGTCCCGGGCGCCCACGCACAGCAGCACCGGTGTCCGCACCTGCGGCACAGCCAGCGGTGGGTGCCCAGCACCCTGTGCCCGGCACCCCGCACCCATCCTGCCCCTGCCTTACCCGGGCCGCCTGGGCGATCGGCGAGCGCAGCAGCATGGTGGCCACCTCCTCGGCACAGGGCACCCGCTCGAAAGAGTAGGGCAGCCCCAGGGAAGCGTAGCGCCTGCGGCACGGGGGTTCTGGTGGGTGCTGTGGGGATGTGGCGCGGCGCGGCGTGGGGCAGGGAGGTGGCACTCACCAGTCAGGGATGTCGGAGGTTCCCAGCAGCGCAGGCAGGTTGGAGACGGGGCTGCGCAGGGCGCAGGCTCGGTAGCGCTCGGGCTCGCGGGCGAGGAGGTGGAGGGCGATGAAGGCTCCGTGGGAGCCAGCCAGCAGGACCAGGCGGTGCGGGTCCAGGGGCTCGCTGCGCAGCGCCTGCTCCACTGCCAACTGCATCCGTGGGACACCCACCATCGGCACCCCACCATCAGCACCCCCCCGGGACCCCCCAGCCCAGCGCCCCTCACCTGGGTGTCTGCCACGTCCTGCTCACCCATGCGGGAGAGCAGGGAGCTGATGACAGCCTGGCCGAAGCCCAGGGAGCCGCGGTAGTTTACTGGGGAGACAGGGCCCGTGGGTACCACGTCTCCAGTGGGGCACAAGGGCCACGCGTCCCCAGGCTCCCTGGCACTCACCCAGGAGCACAGCAAAGCCCAGCCGGCACAACGCAGCCATGCTCGGGCGCCAGCGGGCATCGAAGACGGCGTGGGGGCCACCTGGGGCCAGCGGAGACGTCACCTGGGGTGCCACCAGCGCTGCCAGGGTGTCCCTGCTGTCCCCTCACTCACCGTGGGGACACACGACGAGGGGGTGCGGTGCCCTGTCATCCGGCGGGCTCAGCAGCAGGGCCTCGAAGGCCTGGGTGCCTGTGCCAGGGAAGGGGTCCCATTCAGCACCCACCACCCCGGGCATCCAGCACCCTGACCACCCCCCACACCCGAGGGCCCCCAGCACCCAGGTGGCACCCAGGTGCGGCGGGGGCCCCCAGGCGCTCACCGTGTGCGGCGGGGCTCTGCCCACCGCAGGGTGGCCAGACTGTCAGGGTCTTCCAGGTGACACCGGGCACCACTGGGGCGTCCTCCACCAGCACCCAGCAGAGGGGCAGCTCACGGCCCGCCGGCGGCAGCACCGACACCACCTGGGGACGGGCAGTGGGTGGCACCGGGGCACCCCTGCCCCAGGGCAGCTGACCCCGACGGGCCCCCACGTCGCACCATGCCATGCCCGGCTGCGCATCGCCGTGCCACCTCACACTGTGCCGCGTGGGGCCAGGGCTCTGCTCACCAGGCTCGGGGGCCGGTGCGGGGCCGAGCAAGTGGCCACCAGCAGGTCCCACTGGAGGGTGAGCAGCTCCCAGCACCCTTCTGGTGACCCTGGGGAACAAGGAGCACGCCGACACTCGTGGATGCTCACCGGGGCACCGCGGGTGGCCCGGCGCCATGTACCTGCCGTCAGGTTGGTGACGGTGGCCGCCTCCGTGTCCACAAGCAGCAGGTCCTGCGAGGGGGCAGAGCACGGGCAGCCACATCCGTGGGGTGCGGGGGCCATGTCCCTGTCCCCCCCAGCCCCTGTCCCCAGGGCTCACCGTGCGGCTCCGCTGTGGGGTGCCCAGCACAGCTCGCCGGCTGTCGGCCGCCCAGCACCGCGGCGGCAGTGCCTCCCCGTAGAGCCCGGCGAAGGCTGCGAGCGGGACACAGCGCTGGAGGGCAGGGGCCACAGGCACCTGGCATGGGGGGGTCCTGGCCCCCCGGCAACACCCAGCCCTGCCAGCCATGCCGCGCTCACCCTCCGTGGGCTCCTGCACCACGTCGAGCACCGTCACCGTCTGCCTCGTCTGCCAGGTGAGCTGGGGAGAGTCGGCGGTCGGGGATGGGACCCCACCGGGGAAACTGAGGCAGGGGGATTGGGGGCTGAGCCCACCCCCTGCCCTGGCCGGACGCTGCGAGAGGCTGTGACACTCCATGCCAGGTCCTGTGCCGGTGGCACAGCTGTGCCCGGCGCCCGCAGGGCCCCACTCACCATGCGCAGGCGCAGGCATTGCCGGTGGGGCCCCCCCAGGGCCCCCTCCAGGTAGAGCAGGCGCCGGCCGTCGGGGCTCAGCCGGGGGGAGCAGGCAGCACTGTGCTCGGCCGACAGCAGCTCTGCAGGTGGCAAGGGTTCAGCACCCCGGGGACCCCCAGGAGCCAGGGCCCCCCCTGCATCCCCAGTGCTCACCACAATGCCCACTGGCCAGGTCTAAGTGAAAAATCCCCGCCCTGGGGAGGAGGCGTGGGTCAGGCTGGAGCCCTGCGGCTATGCCGAGCCCTTGCCGTGCCGGCACAGGGTGGGCATCCTGGCACGGCGCTGGGTGCCAAGGGGAGAACCCACCTCCTGTTGGAGCAGGCGCTCAGCCCCAGGCGGAAGGGCTCGTGCCACCAGCCCACGAACACCACGCCACGGTCATCCGGGGACCACAGGGCCTGTGCGACAGCCGGGCTCAGCCCACAGCCCCAGGCCAGACCCCTCCGGGGCTCCCCCTGCACCCCGACTCACCTGGCCAGGGGAGAGGTGCTCCGGGACGCCCTCCAGCACCGAGAGGCTGCTGCCCTCCAGGTCCAGGACGCAGAGGACGGGCACGCTGCGGCTGCTCAGCGCCTCCCCCCAGTCCTCGTGGTACACGAACCGCTCGCCCTGCAGCACAGCCCCGTCAGCCCCACGGCTCCAGGCATGGGGGCTCTGCGCATGGCGTGCTCGTGGGGTGCCTGGCACACTTGTGGGGTGCGTGGCATGCTCATAGGCTGCACGGGGGGGTTGCTCATGGGGCATGTGCCAGGCTCACAGCGTGCACGGCACGCTCACGGGGTGCACAGAGCACGCTCACGGGGTGCACAGCACCCACCTCCTCATCTTCATCCTCCTCCGCCGGCCTGGCTGCTCCCGGCACATCCCAGGGGTAGGGGGGCCGTGGTTTGGGCCGGATCTTCTCAGCCACGTAGAGCAACCGTGTCTCCGAGCGGGACCAGGCCAGGCAGGCGAAGGGCCCTGGCACGGTAAGAGGGTGCCAAAGCCCAGCCCGGCGCAGGCACAGCCGGGCACCGGCCAGCCACTCGCCTGTGTTATGGGCAGGGGGCACGGGGCGGGGTTCCTACCCTCAGTGTAGACCTCCCCATGCTTCCCCAGCGCCGTGAGGTCCACGCTGTGGCTGCGCCCACCACTGCCCCACACCTGGGCGGTGGCGGGGGGGGGGGACGGGACAGGCGATCAGCACCGGCACACCATGGCCACGGCACTCACTGCCCGGCGCTGGCACTCCAGCCGCCCCCGGTGAGCCCCGAGGCTGCCGTGAGCCGGGCAGCCCGCGTTACCTCCAGCAGCTCGTGGCCCTGCCGTGGGCAGCGGCTGAGCACGGCGCGGTGCTGCCCCGTGGGCGAGTCCTGGCTGAGGAGCCTGCGGGCGGGAGGGAAGGAGGCAGCGGTGGAGGGCACGCCGCGGGCACCGGCCACGCTCCCCCATCCCGCGGCCTCGACCGGGCCGTACTGGTTGTGGATCTCCGCGCTGAGTGCTGTCCGGCTGACGGCGAGGCCGCTGCCGCCTGTGCGCCGCAGGCTGTAGTGGCGGCTGAAACGCAGGAGCTGGCGGCGGGGCAGGTCGGGGCGGCTGCACTCTGCGGGGTGAGGGGGGGTGGGGAGCAGGGGGGCCCTCAGCACCCACCCGCACCGGCCCAAAGCGCCAGGACAGCCGAGCCCGTGACCCACCGGTGTAGAGCAGGAGGGTCTGTCCCCCCGCGGTGGCCCCGAGGGCGGCACGGGTGATGGCAGGGAACCCGCTCAGCTCCCGGTAGCAGGCAGCGGGGCTGCCGGCCGCCTGGGAGAGGGAAGAGACACGCTGGTGGGGGGGGGGGGACGAGCTCACTCCTTTGCCTGTGCCCACCCCACCGAAACAGGGCTGTGCCCGCCCACGCAGCCCCCCCCCCCGCCCCGGGACCCCTGTGCCCACCTCTGCGCCCCGCTCCGTCCCCGAGGCCATGGGGCCTTGCTCCGCCGCGCCGGGCCGCTCGGCAGCGGGCAGGTTGCCAGCCCGTACGCCTGGCGCAAGGGGCCCGGCTGGTGCCAGCCCTCCGGCCGTGCCGCGCTGCCTGCTGTGCCGGGGGGGCGGGGGGGGGGGAGCTGGGCTGGGGCCACCTGCTGCCACGGCACACACACCGACCTGCGTGGGAGCCCCTGGGGCACTGGGAACGGAGGTGACGCTGGTGTCGGTGGCACCATCAGAGACGCCGGGGGTGTTAAACTATATCGTTTATTTGGGGGAGGGGGGGCAGGGGGGCTGTTAGCACCGCAGGTGCTTGAGCAGCCACAACGCCATGTTCATGAAGCCATCGGCTTCCGCCTCGACGCCGGTCAGCGCGTGGTTGTTCCCTGGGTACCAGAGCAGCCTGGAGGGGAGAGGAGGGGTTAGCACCGTGCCCGCACCCCCCGCACCGGGGCACCCAAGCACCCCACTCACCGTGTGGGGATCCCCCGGACCTTGAGGGCACGGTAAAACTCCAGCCCCTGCTTGGGGGGCACGCGCCGGTCGTTCTCCCCCAGCATCAGCAGGACGGGGGCGCGGACCTGCGGGAGCGGCACAACCTCAGCGCCGGCCCTGCCGGCGGGGACGGGGACGGGGACAGGGACGTACCCGGTCGACGTAGCGCATCGGCGACTTGTGCAGCATCTCCGTCCACTGGGCCGGGTCCGGCAGGGTGTTGGGGGTGTAGGGCAGCCCCGTCTCTGTCAGGCACCTGCGGGAGAGAGAGACGGCGGCACGTGCCGGGCCGGGGTGGTGGGGGGACCGGGGCTGGCGGTACTCACCAGTCGGGGATGTCGGTGATGGTCGCCATGGAGGCGATGTTCACTACGGGGTTGCGGACCACGCAGGCGTGGTAGGTGTCGGGGAACTGGCCGAGGAGGTGGCACGCCAGGAAGCCCCCGTGCGAGCCGCCCACCAGCGCCACTCGCCCGGCGTCCAGCGACTCCTCCTGCAGCACCCGCTCCACGCAGAGCTGCCACCACCGGTGGGGACACCCTTTGAGGCAGGTGGCCCCACTTTCCCGCCTTGGGGTTACCCACAGGAACAGGGGGTGCCCCAGGACCGCGTGCGGGGCCGTACCTGCACATCGCGTACATCCTGCGTGCCCACGTTGCCCGGCAGGGAGGCCACGCTGTCCTGGCCGAAGCCCAGTGAGCCACGGTAATTCACTGGAGGGGGGGCAGGCAGCGTCAGAGCCCTTCCTCCCCCTGCCCCAGCCCCACCGTGGGCACCGTGCCCCCCAGGAGCCCCAGCCCCCTGGCATCTCTCACCCAGCAGCACGGCGAAGCCCATGCGGCACAGTGCCGCCGGGTACAGCATCCACTTGGCCGTGAAGACAGAGTGGGGACCCCCTGCGAAAGGCAAAGGCAAAGTGGGGGTGACGCTGCCCGGCTGGGGGCATGGTGGTGGTGGTGGGGGTGTGCGGGGGGGCAAGCTCTTACCATGGGGCATCACGACCAGGGGGTGCTTCTGGGTGGCGAGGCGCTCGCTCGGGCGCAGCAGGATGGCGTCGAAGTCCAGGCCCTCTGTGGAGGAAGGGCGGGGGGTGTTGCAGCTTGGAGTGGCAGCAGAGCCTGGCCCAGCCCCCCCGGGCGCTCACCGTATTGGGGGTGCTCCTGCTCCGGCGGGGGCTGCAGGGTGCGGATGCCCCAGCTGATGCCAGGCACGGGGGGTGCATCCTGCAGGCTGACCCACCGCATCTGCGCCTCCCGGCCAGCGCTGGGCAAAATGGCCACTTTCTGCACAGGGAGAAGTGTCAGCACCGGCGCCGAGAGGGGCTGGTGGGTGCTGGGGAGGGGAGGGGGGGGCGTCACCTTACCAGTGTGGGGGGACAGCTAGGGGTGGAGAACCTGGCCACCAAGAGGTCCCAGTTGATGGTGAGGACAGACCAGCTTCCCTGGGGGCCATCTGGGGAGGAGGTGCCGGGGGGGGGGTCAAACCTGCAGGTGTGACCCCCTCCCCAGCGCCGGCCCAGCCTCGCCGGCCTGGCACTCACCAGCTGTCAGCGAGGTCGTGGCTCCCGTCACTGTGTCCACCACGAACACGTCCTAGAGGCACGAGGGCAGAGTCCAGCGCAGCCCTGACCCGACCTCCCCCCCCGCCGCGTGCCCCCCCAGCCATCCCAGCCCGGCCGCCCTTACCTGCTGGCTGCGCTGGGCCGTACTCAGCACCAGCCTGCGGCTGTCGGCCGCCCAGCACAGCCCCGGCAGAGCGCTGCAGTAGATGCCCGGGAAGGCACCTGTAACGAGAGCGGTGGTGCTCAGCACCCCGCTGCGCCCCCCCACCCCATACCGCCCTCAGGGCCGCACTCACCCCACGCCTGCCGCGGCACGGCCTCCAGCACCGTGCTGGTGTACTCGGTGTACCAGTCATACTGCGGGAGACACGGCACGGGGTGAGTTTTGCAGGGTCTCAGCCTGTCCGCCCCTGTTGCATCCCAGGGAGGGGGCACCATCCCCCTCCTGCCAGCCCCCCACCCCGGTACGGGCACCCCGCCACCTTCCTGGATGCCCTGCCGGGGGGTCCCCCCGGCCCCGGGGCCGCTCACCATGCGGAGGCGGCTGCACTGCTGGTGGGGGCCCAGGGTGTCGTTCTCCAGGTAGACGATGAAGCAGCAGTCGGGGCTGAGCCGCGGGGAAAACACGGCCTTGGTGTCCTCAGAGAGCAGCTCTGCACGGGCACGAGGGGACGGTGAGGGGCTGCGGAGAGCCGGGGCGCCGGCAGGGTCGGGGCGCACGCCGCTCACCGCAGCTCCCGCCCGCCAGGTCCAGGTAGAAAAGCGCTGACCTGCCAGCAGAAACGGGTGTCACCGTGGGGCCGGGGCGGGGGGGGCCTGGCTGTGGGGCGGGGTGCCCCCCTGCCACGGGGACTCACCGGCGGTTGGTGCAGTGCCGCAGCCCCAGGCGGAAGGGCTCGTGCCACCAGCCCACGAACACCACGCCGGTGTCGCCGGGGGACCAGAAAGCCTGCAGGCAGAGGTGGGGTGAGTGGCTCAGCCCACTGCTACCCCCCCCCCCCAAAAGCTCCCTTCTGCGGTTCCTGAGGGCACCCCCTCCTCACCTGGCCAGGGGAGAGGTGCTCTGGGACGCCCTCCAGCACTGAGAGGCTGCTGCCCTCCAGGTCCAGGACGCAGAGGACGGGCACGCTGCGGCTGCTCAGCGCCTCCCCCCAGTCCTCGTGGTACACAAACTGCTCGCCCTGCGGCACAGCCCCGTCAGCCCCACGGCTGCCCCCACCGGCCCCCAGTGACCCAGGGCAGGGGGACCCCCACCTTGAGGGGTGCATCATCCTTCTCGGGGCAGCCCATGTGTTCTTTGGAGGCGCCCAGCTCGGGGGCTTTGCTCTGGAAGAAGGACTCGGCCTTGGGACGCTTCTTCTCCGCCACGTAGAGCAGGCGGGTCTCCGAGTGCGACCAGGCCAGGCAGCCAAACTGGTCTGCAGGGGTGGGTCAGGCACTGGCCACCCCGTCCCCCCAGGAACCCCACAACCCTGGGCATCCCCAGGCATCCGCCGGCTCCTCACCATCGTCGTAGACGCTGCCGTGCTTGTCCAGCGCCGTCAGGTCGATGCTCTTCACCTTATGGTCCTGATCCCAGACCTGGGGGCAGAGAGAGCGGGGGGGCCCCGAGCCGCAGCGTGGATTCGGCCCCGAGCCCTGGCGCGGCTCCAGCCCCCCTCCAGCCCCCTCCTCACCTCCAGGAACTGCTTCTCCTTCTCCTTGCCGGGGACCTTGCGCAGGACGGCCCTCAGCGCCCCGCTGGGCGACTCCTGGCTCAGCAGCCTGTGGGTGGGTGCCCGTCAGCCCCCCCCCCCCGCTATCGGCACCCCGAGGGGACGCCGGCACGGGGAGGGGGGCGACGGGACTCACTCATCCTTGATTTCGGAGCAGGTGCCGGCAGGCCCCGAGTAGACGACAGAGGCCCCATCGTGGAAGATGAGGTACTGGCGGCAAAACTTGATGTTCTCAGCCCGCGCCAGGTCCCGCTGCGACCACTCTGCAAGGAGCGGGGTGAGGGCACCCGCCGCGTCCCCGCCGGGCAGGTGGAAACCCCCACCCCACCCCGGGACACCTCGGGGGGGGTCACCCCGTCCCCGTACCGGTGTAGAGGCTGCAGTACTTGCCCCCGTACTGGGTGGTGACGTTAGGGCCGAGGCAGGCAGCGTTGAGCCCCGGGTGCCGGCTCAGCTCCCGGTACAGCTCCACCAGCTCCTCGGTGTTCGACAGCACCTGCGGGACCCGCCGGGGTGGCTGGGGGGCGCGGGGCCATGCCGGGGTGCGGGGGGGGCACGAGAACCGGCGAGTGGCGGGGCACAGGGGGCAGTTATTGGGGTGCCAGGGCACGGGGGACGGGCATTAGGAGGGTGCCAGGGGCAGTTACTGGAGTGCCAGGGTGGCAGAGCTGGGGCAGCTTTACTGGGGTGCTGGGGGCAGCGCCAGGGGTGCACGGCCAGGGCAGTTATTGGGGTACAGGTAGGGCACAGGGGTGCTGGGGCAGTTACTGGAGTGGTGGGGCAGTACTGGGGTGCAGAGGTGGGGCAGCTACTGGGGGAACCAGGGGGTATGTGGGGGCAGTTACTGCAGTACATAGAGGGGGATTAGAACAGTACTGGGGGCAGTTACTGGGGTACCAGGGGCAGTGACTGGGGCAGTTCTTGGGGTACATGGGGGGACTAGGAAGGTTCCGGGCGGCACTGGGGTACTGGAGCTGGGGCAGTTACTGGGGTACGGGGGGGCAGGAGGGTATGGGGGCAGCTACTGGGAGACTGGTGGCAGTACCGGGGGTGCAGAGCCGGGGCAGATACTGGGGTGCCGGGAGGTACGGGAGCACGGAGGGGTAGTTACTGGGGTACAGAGTGGGGAGAAGAAGGGCACTGGGGGCAGTTACTGGGACACGGGGGCGGCCCCGGGGGTGCGGAGCCAAGTCAGTCACCGGAGCACCGGGGCTCACCGGGGGGGGGGGGCCGGGGCTCCCGGGGTTTGCAATGACGGGACGCGAGGTGGGGGGGAGCTCCCGGGGCAGTGACGACACCACAGCCCTCCCCGCCCCCCCCGCAGCCCCTCACCGGCGGCTCCATCCCGTGGCGGCGGGGCAGGGGCGGTGCCAGCGCCGGCACTTCCGGCGCGGAGGGGCGGGGCCGGCGGCATGCGGCACCTCCCATTGGCTGAGGCGCTCGGACCGCCGCCCGCGTTGCGGCGCCCCCCGGTGGCCGCGGGTGGCGCCGCTGCCGGAGGCCCTGGCGGTGCCCGGTCCCCGGTTCGCCCCGCCCGGGTCCCCCCCCGCCCTCCCCTCCCGCCGCCTCCTCCGCGTCCCGTCCAGCCCAGAGGCACCGGCTCATCCGCTGGGGCCCCGTTTGAAGGCGTAGCCAGGGGCCAGGGCGCGGCCCCGCGGCCTCTGGGCCGCCCCGGAGCGGTTTCCCCGGCAGGTGACTTGCAGCCCCGGGGCTCCGTAAGCAGGCCGGAGGGGGATCGGGCCCGCAGGGACCCCCCAGCCCAGCAGCCCCGGGTGTGGGCTGCGGAGCCAACCAGGCCCCCGGGGCTCCCAACCCGACTGCCCCCACTACCTCGGGGGTCCAGGCCCCCCCTGCCCCCCTCGTGCCGCAGGCAGGAATCGGGGGCCAGTCCGTGGTTTGTGTCAAGTCCTTTTTATTCTGTTCCCACAGAAACACCTGGTGAGGGGGCAGCTTCTGGGAGGGAGTCACGACACAGCGGCGGGGGCGGTACGGCACGGTACGGCACGGTACGGCACGGTACGGGGTCACTACGGGTGGCACAGAGCACAGCAGACACGCACACCGTCACAATGTTCAGAGGGAGCGCGCCCGGCATCGCACTTACCGCTGGAAACGGCGCCCGGCCGCGCTCGGCCGTTCGTCTTCGCACCCTCCGTCCCCCCGCCCCGGCCAGCAGACCCCCACAATTCGGGCTGAGGGGGCCCGGCCCGGCGGGGTGGGCTACGTGCCCCCGGTCCCTGAGGGCGCGAAGGCGAGGCGGCGGATGTGCTCGGGCGGCGAGACGGGGGTGGGGGGGGTGTCTCGGTCCCGCGAGCGATTTACACACTGTACAAGTATTTACAGCGCGAGGAGCGGCGGGGGCCGGGGGCCCGGAGGAGGCACCTGCAGGTTATGCACTTGTCGTCGGCGGGGAGAGGCGGCGGGTGTGCGTGGGGCCGGGGCTCTCCTCCGTGGGGCTGCCCCACGGGAGCGCCGCGCTCCCCGACCCACAGCCGCCGGCCTCTCCCCCAGCCTCGGTGCCCGGGCGAGGCTCCCTGTGAGGGACCTGCCACGGAGCGTGGGCTTCCCACAGCGACCGGGTCCTCAACAACGAGTGCATAAATCTGCTAAGAGCTTTCAGTACAGCGATGGACTGGTGGAAAAGAAAAAAAGAAAAGTCCAGGCAAAGAACAGCAAGCACTGAAAGGCGGGTGGAACCGTGCAGAGAAGTAGCAAGCCATGCTCTACGACGGGACAGACGGTCACGGGCGCTGGGGCTGCCCTTTGGCAAAGTGGCCCTCCGTGGGTCGAACATGCCACGAATTCATACGCAATGGTGGTCGATAAATAGTTATCGGGTCGCTCGGCGGCACGCTTTGCGATGAAACCCTTAGGCGCGACACTGAACTGATTTAGCTATTCACAGGTCTTGTTCTGGAGTCGTGTTATTTCGTTGCATAGAACATCAGGCGGGTGAGCGGGCAGCTGCCACCCGCTGCGGGGGGCACCGGGGGGGGCTGCCCCCCCCCCCCCCCCCCGGGGAACCCCCTTCCTGGCGGGGTGAGTGGGTTTTGGCCACCGGCCACCGCGCCGGCCGTCCCCGCAAAATGGCTTGAGAAGGACTTGGATTGCACAGTAAGAGGAAGGATACTGCCGGAGGCAAAGCTCTCCTGATCTTGTTCCACGGGATTTGTGCTCTTTTGTAGCCTCCTGCACTCTATTGCTTCTACAGACAACAGCCCGTGTGCTAACTCATCGCACAAAGCAAAGAGGGAAGAGGATTTGGTATAAAGTTTAGAAAAAAAAACAAAACAAACCAAAAAAAAAAAAAACCAAACCAAACCAAAATAAAATGAACCCAAAGAAACTGAGAAAAAAGGACCCCCCCCCGACGACGCCCCGTGCCCCCCCCCCTCCCCGGTGTGGATGAGGTATACACAGAAATCAAAGTGGGATGATTAAGGCTGTTCTTGAAAGAAAAGGGGTGCCCGGCGGCAGGCGCGCTGGCTGCGTGGTGAGGGCGAGCGCGGCCCTTCCAATGCTTCCAATGGCTTCGGGACGGCACCGCGTGCCGGGACGCGCGCCCAACCGGCGGCCGCGGCGGCACAGGCCGGCCGCGGCGCCTGGCAGAGTCCTATGGCCTCGTATTTCGGTAGTGAAACAGTGTTAGGTCCTAGCTGAGGCGCTCCGGGGGCTCCCCGGCGGGGCCGGGAGCGGGCCACGGTGCGGGGGGCGCAGGGACGGCCCCGGCGGGGCGGACAGGGTCGGGAAGGAGGAGCGGCGCCCGCGGCGCCCAGCCCTCGGCTCGTGGGGGGGTGGGGGGGAAAAAAACCTATGAAGAGGCCAGAGCTGGGGTTCGGAGGGAGCAACTCTGCGTATAATCTTGAGAAAGGGCCGTGGCCCACCTACGGGGCCTGACCCGACGGTCCGGATCAAGCCCGTCCCCTCGGGGCGGCTGCCGGGGCTCGCCATGTGCCGCGCCGGAGCTGCTCGCCAGGTGTGGGGGGCGCCTGCCCCGGGGCGTCCGCCGGGCCCCCGCTCGGCCGCCGTTTGGTCCAGCATCCAGGGATCGCCCTGTTTTCAAAAGCTTGCGAGAGACAGAGAGAGAGAGAGAGAGGCGTTAGCCCAAGCGGTGCCGTCCCCGCGGAGGGGACCCCGCCGAGCGGCGGCGCCGGCCCGAGCGAACGGGCAGCAGCGAGCCAAGAGGCGCTGCCGGCGGAGCAGCTGCTGCCGCCCCCGCGCTGGACGGGCTCCCGGAACAGAGCTCGGGCTGCCCAAACCTTCCCCCCTCAACCCGGGGTCTGCACCAGCATCCACGTGGCATCGGCCCATGTGGCGCCGTGGAGACTGGGGAACGAGGCCAAGCCCCCGCGCCTCAGCCTGGGGCCGGTGCTCGGTGATGAGGATGGGGACAAACGGCCCAGCGCGAAGGGGACGGGGCTGCACCGTGTCCTTCTCACCCTGGGGGCCGGGAGCGCAGCAGGGCAGGGCTCAGCGGGGGACAGCGGTGCTGTGGGAGCCCCGGGGACGGCAGGGCGGAGGGGACCGGTGCGATGGAGGGGACTGATGTGATGGGAGGGGACCGGTGCGTGGCAGCGCCCCGGATGCTCACTGTTATACTCAGAGTCCGGCGCCACACGCTGAATTCACTGGCTTCTTCATAGGTTTTTCCACTGCAACGACTCGATCTCCACTCGCTTCCCAAACTCCTGCGGCGAGAGGGAGCGGGAGGACATCAGGCACTGCCGGCGCAGGGAGAGCCGCGGCGCAGCGCCCGGCCCCGGCTGCACTCACCTCGTGCCGTTCTCTCACCAGAACGAAGTGAACTTCTTGCCAAAAGCCGACACCGCTGCGGGGAAGCCGGGAGAGGCGTCAGCTCGGCACAGCTGCCCTTGACCCCCACCTCCTCCCCGGCCCCCCACCTCCCCAGGCTCCAAACTGTAGGAGCACCGCATCCCGCCGGCTGCACCCGGCCACCGCCAGGGCGCCTGACCCCATCTTGGTGCAGAAGGGCATCACCACCCCGTCCCCAACCCCGGGAGCAGCCCTCACCTTCGGTCAGTTTGCCTGCTTGTTCCGCTGCCCCCCCTGGCAGGATTTTGGAGAAAACGCTCTCTCCTTCCCCCCCGGGCTGCCCTGTGGCCGTGCCGGTGGGACCACGCGGCCCGGCCGCCCTCGGCCCGGCCTTGGCGTCTGCTGGGGGACAAACGAAGCCACCGTTAGCAGGGGTCGGGGCCAGCCGGGGGAGCTCGGCTGAGCCCCTGGGGTGCCAGGCAGCTGGCACGGGGAGGGGGGACACACGGCACCGTGCCACCGGGCCCACTGACCTGCTGCTCCCAGGGGCTGCACCGCGGGCGCTCTCCCCGGCTGCTGTGGCACTTTTGCTGCGGGTTTGGATGCGTCCGTCTGCTCCGCTTTCGGCTGGAACGGGGAAAAACACCCCTCAGGGCTCACCCTCCTGGCAGAGCATCCACTGGGGGGTGGCCCAGGCTGGGAGGTGACACTGAAACCTCCAAACACTGCTCCACAGCCCCAAAAGGGGCAGCGAGGGATCCAGGGCACAGGGATCCCCCTCCTCGAGGGGATGGCTGCTCCCATGGCACCCAGGGGTGGCTGTGGTGGGCACATGGCTGGGATACGCCTTGCCCCATGGCTCCTGTCCCCAACCCTTCCCCTGGCCAGGGCCAGCCGGGCTGGTCTTGGGCAGAGCCGTGGGGTCAGGAGGTAGCCAAGCCCGTACTTACCGCCGGTGCTGGGTGCCCGCCCGGCTGCGCGTGGAGTGTGGCCGGTGCCTTCCCCGCCGCCTGGGCTGGCCCCGGCTGCTGCTGCTGCTGCTGCTGCTGCTGCTGCTGCGGTGGCCGGGACGACGGGGGTCCCTGCGTCCTGCCCCTGGCCTCGGGTTGCACCGAGCCCACCGGCTGGGCAGCCTGCCGTGCTGCCGGCTGCTGCCGCGCTGCCGGCTGCCCTGCCTGCTGCTGCCTGGCCGCCGGCTGCTGCGGGTGTGCGAGGGGCTCCGGCTTCGGCGCTGCGGCGGCTGACCCGTGCGGCTGGGGAGGCTTCTGCGCCTTGGGGGTCTCGGCGCCGTGGTGGTGAGCAGCAGGGCGGGATGGCGGGGCGTACTCGGGGCCGTAGGGCGCGGGGGCGCGGGGCTCGGGCTGCTGCGCTTTCTTGGGGGCGGCTGGCGGCCCGTGGCCACGGGGCTCGTGGCGGCCGGGCTCTCGCGGGTGCTGCTTGGCCGAGCGGCGCGGGGGCTCCTCGCCGGCGTGCCGGGAGGTGCCGGCGTGGCGCCCGTACTCCCCGTGGTGCCGGTGCTCACGGTGCTGGGGGTAGTCGTCGTGCTGCCACGGGTCCTCGTCGGGGGGCTCGTCGTAGTCGTGGTAGGTGTGCTTAACTGGGGGTCTCTTC